TCGGAAAGATGACACCAGACGTTCATGGCCCCCAAATATCAGAACTTGTCATGGTGTATTCGCCACCGCTCACAAGGCTACAGAATAGCGAATTCTCAGTACCAGGCAACAAGACTCACTACAGAGGGCATCGGCGCGAAGAAGTAGGAGAATCCAAAAGCGTGACGACAGAATAGAATACATTTGTCTGGTTGCCTCGCTTGATGAAGTGTAGCAGATGACCTAACGACTTCATCCAAGGTTTATAGGAATAGCACCCTTGCCAGTCCTCTGAGACATGACATGACTGGAAAACGGGCAAGTCATCCAAGTAGCCAGCCAACCAAGGTTAAAGTGTACAATCCTAATATGAGTGTGCCTGACCGAACTTGCGAGTTTCAATATGGCAGCCTCGTGGAGGCGGTGTACTCGGCCGTGTAAGACAAAAGGGCCATTGCCAAAGAATGTTGTTCGTGGTGGTGGTCATGAAGAATAGATACGTACCGGGATGTGGAGAGGCAGCCCAAGCGCAGCCGCGGTGAACAGCAAGGGTTGTACGGTGTTGTGACTGGATTATGGTGGTAGAAAGGCGCTTTTAGGCACTGTATTCTCCGATGGCGGCGCTTGCTTACCGCAATGCGCCTGCTCCACGTGCCAAAACGTAACCAGGCTGTACGTACCTAAGGTAAGGTACCCTTGAGATCTCCAATTCCACCCCAACTGTCCACTGTCACACCTCCAACTTCGACATCTTCACGGACCAACATCTAGACCACAAAGAATCAACCCCGCCCTTGTACTCTCCTCATTCTATGCCCTTTTTTCCGTTTCACGCAGCCTTCAAGCAGCCTAGACCAAACCTGACCTCTGACTAAACAGCTAATCCCGCGAGGCCCGCAAGCAAACCTCCCGGGATGAACCGCCGCCAGGTTCAAAGCTCAGTCCCCCCCGGAGCTGGCCCCGAATGACCCCTCCACCCCCCTTCTGGCTCGTGAGACATGCCACTCATGCGCTCACCACAAACGACCACCCAAGTCTCACCGCGCACAACTTGTGAGGCCGTCTACATGACCTCGCCTTCGGACTCACAACTAGGTCAGCCAAACGGGCACCCGACAACCTAAATCCTCCTCAATGTCGAGGGCGCCTCAACTTTGTACACCACACCCGACCTCTTTCCCCCGGCTCCACCCACCATCTGCCTTGCAGGGTACCTTGCCTTAGTATGAGCAGCCAAGAGGAAGAAAGGAAAAATAGGTGTCCATCTATAGCTAAGGCACGAATATAGTCTATCTGTATTGTTTACTACCCTTCAGGGTCCAGTTCGTACCAGTTCCCTCATCCGTCCGCAACCTCCAACGGCAGCGCGTCAGCCACCGAGTCGGCGCCCATCCCTTCTCCCGCCCACGCGCTTGAGCCTCGTGCCCTGTTGCCTCATCCTCCGATGACTCGCAGCCGTTCCTGCGCCTACTTTTCCCTCGTGAAATGTACGAAAGACGGCGAGATTCCAGTCTAGTGACGAACGTACCCAGAGCTCTGGGATCCCAAGTTCCTCCTTAGGCCAGGGCACACTTACACAGTAAACACCCCCTTAGGATTAGGGAGGCATCCTATCAAACAAGGTAGAACAGATTAGGAAACCTAGAGAAAATGCAAGACGAAGCCCTACCCGCTCCCGCTCCGCCATGCAGCCCCCGTCTTATGGGCCCTTGTTGGTATTGCGAGACGGGGTAGTCTTCTGCGCTGATCACCTGCATATCAGCCCCGGGGCTCTCGTGGTCTGCTGTCTTTATCCCTCAGATCTCCATATCAAGGCCTCGATCCGCCCCTTGTTGAACTCCTGTCGGTTCCCGGCCCTCTCTCGTCTTCGTCCAATATCCTGAACCGAAAACTCTGAATACTGTTCTTGCGAAACCTCTCAGTTCAACTTCAAGCTTAGACAGCCTCACAGCAAACCTTTTTCGACTTATACGGACGACGACCACCACCACCTCCAGTCTCTCCCCTCTCGCCAAACATCTCGAGAAACAAATCACATACCACCTAGTCCACGACCACAACCCCCTCCAGACCGCATGGCCACCCGCCGGTGGTACCTCGAAACCTCCCCAGACGGCAAATACCAATTCGTCTCCCTCAAACGCTCCCGCTCCCACCATCATCACCGCCATCATCACCACCATGAAGACCCAGCTCCGGCTCCGGCCCCCTGTCCGACTCCGACCCCAGCACCTCCACCTCCACCACCAGTCCACCACTGCTGCCGCGACGACTGCGCACACATCGCCGCGCCCGAATACAACGACCTCCTAGACCGCGAGCGCAAGCTCCGCGAAGCAAACGACGCCCTCGCCCGCGAAAACTACACCCTAAAATGCGACCTCCGAGCCTCGGACATTGAGGGCCGCCGCCTCTCGGCCCTGCTTATTTCCGCGCAGGCGGAGAACCAGCTCCTGCGCGAGGACAACGCCAGTTTGCGGCGGACTATCGAAAGCTCGGGCGGGAACGCGGGGAAGTATCTGCAGGAGGTGGAGAGGCTGAGGCATAAGCTGCAAAAGGTCGAGAGAGAACTGGCGGCGCGGTTGAGGCATGGGCATCACCATCACTTTGGACATGGGTTGGGCCACGGGGTGGCGGAGAGGATTGAGGAGTTGAGGAGGATTGTGCGTGCGTGGGAGGGGAAATATGATGGCGTGGAGGAGCAGAATCGGCGGTTGAGGAGGGAGTTGCACGAGCAGCGGTGTGTTGTTGCGGGACGGGATGAGAGGATTAGGGAGTATGAGAGGATTTTGAGGAGGCATGGGTTTATACGGTATGAATGAGAGGGGTTATGGATGGATATGACGGATATACGTTTTTCTCTTTGTTTTCCTCTCTTATATCTCTCTACGAGATGTGGACTTTCGGCGCGGTTGAGGATAAGTGTCTTCGACAGCTGCTTGAGAGAGTCTCTTTTTTGGTAGGAGGGAACCCGTTTGGCTGGATGATATTGCATGGGCAAGCCTCAGCGTGAGTTTCTCTCCCCCTTTCTTTTCCAGATATCATGCCTTGGATATGAGAACTGACATTAGCATCGGCATAGGCTCTCGTCAGAAATTGCAGGGCATCATTTTCATTGGCTTCGATTTGAGATAGACTTTTGCTGACGATGCTTCATTGGATACCCCGTCATGCAAGGCACTGCGTGACGATCATTGGGCACGACATTTCTTTTTGGAGCATCGCAGCCCTGACCTTCGTTTACGACATATTTCGTTTGTCAACAATGAACTTCTCTGGCAATCTTATATGACTTTGGGCTTTGGAATGTTTTATCAAGGTTATTGTTTTAGGGCGAAGTGATGGACTGATATAGAGATTGTCATCTCATACTACGTTGCCCTTCATGTTGGTAGTCATTACTCGTACTAGCTGTATCACTCAATCATCCTCCAAGCCTTCGATCATGTGTTCAACTGGAAATACCGATAAACTGCTTTTCAAAGGCCCTCCTATCGCTTGCACTTGAATGCGCCAAATTGGCGTGGAGAAAGTAGGTAATAGAGCACTCTTCGGTGAAGACATTGACGTAACCCAACATGCGCATGCATTCAAATATACCGCTCTTACCTAGTTTTGAACTGGTGATTTCTTGGTTGAGAATCTTTGAGATTCTAATTGGAGTTGGTCTTTCTCTGTATCGGCGCATGGGATCAAGGAGTTCGCCTTAATCCAACTGGTATCAGTTTCAACATTATGTTCACATTCAAGCTTTAATAGAAACCACCAAAATTTCGGAAAAAATGAAGCAAAACCCAAGAGTCTCTCACACACAAACAATCTCATTGTGCGGTGGTGGCTGTCAGCAGAGGGGTGAGACGAAGCGTCGGCACCGGGTCACCAAGTCAGCTGTCTCCGAACTCAGACATTGGTCGGGCCAGGCCTCATGACGCCATCCCGTCCTTTCGTCCTTTCTCCAAAACTCTGCACCTCCAAATTTGGTACTCGCACTTTCCACCGCAGTTCGGTGTACATGGATAGGTAAAGCGAACCGAGCAGCCCAGGATTCCATTTTGGGGATACGAATACTTCTGTCAAAAATACAAGGGTTCTTCATTCGTGTACTCCGTCGCTGTGCCAATTCCGTTTTACCCCCATGGCCACGTCAAATCAGACGTAATGGTGTGCAGCATAAGGCTGCAGCCATCGTCTTGGCACCGAGTGGGAGAGACTGGCGTTACACAAGCTGTGGACAGCGCGCCAACGCGCGATTGCGCAAGAAAAGTGTTGCGCGCAAGCAGGTATGCGCGTCTGCAACGGGCCACGGCCGCAGGATCGGAACCCATGTTGTTGGCCTCACCTGAGCCACCTTTTTCTTTCTTTCAGTCAACAGACTGTTTCTCCGGCTCAGTAATTCCGTTTACAAGGGGAGGAAGAATAGCAAGATAACGGAAGATAACTAACACCTTATCTTGATGGAGTGTGTTCGGGGTTGCGTATCCCAGTTCCTCAACTAACGTGCCCAAGGTCGGGGCGGTCGTGAATGCCTTGTGCCCTCTCACCTTGTCGCTAGAGTGCTAACACCGAGGTGAGCGGGACACGGTCATCATCCTTGGGACTTCAGCCGCAGCTGCAGCCGTGAATCGGAACCGTGGAATCCAATAAATGACCTGCTCATGCTCGTCTCTCGCTTCAGCAAGCGCGCAAAGGACCAGAAGAGGGAAGTTATCCGCGAGGCACAGAAACGACAGGGATGGGAGCGGTTGAGTGAGATAAGCACCCAAAACATGCTTCTGCGGCTGAGGAAATCAAACTCTTCCACACGTTCCTCTAGGTTTGTATTGTCTTTGTTCCTGGGAGGTATTGACAAGCAGACGTTCAGCTGGGCTCCCTCCCGCTTACCTCCCATGTCAACGACGGACAACCGAGGGGGATGCTATTGCTAGACACGATCTCTCATTCGATGACATTCGACACAGGCAGTATCGCCAGCCGCTGAGAACCGAGGTGGCATATACCTTGAAGCTGACGGACGATAATTTCTACGTCCGAAGACGGATGAAGCTGGAAGCGTGACCAAGGCAAAACCGGCAGCCGTTTTCACCACCGTTCAGTCGCTGGCGGATGGGGAACGTTTTGGGTGGATACCTCGGATACGTACCGTCAAGGGTTTCCCATGCCCCGTACCCCACTCTTCTTCCGTCGACAAATCAACTTACACCTTTCCTTTCTTCCGTCTCCTCTGCCCCTCCACTTCCATGGAGTTCCAAAGCGGATTGGAAAGTCCAATGTCTACAAAGTGCTGGGAGAATGTTGTCGGCACTTGGCGATTCTCAATGTTCCCCATGATGGTTCCCTTCCTGTGTCCACCAATGATTTCTAATCTCTTTTTGGATGAGAATAGGCACTGGACGCTTCCGTACGAGTTTCGACAAGGTAGGTACCTTGGCATACAGACATGAAGGAGGATGACACTGTTCCTGTATGAATAAACTCTCTTATTGTTTTTACCTGGCTTTTCGTGAGCTATCAGGTCTACTTCATTGGCCTAAATAAGTGTTCATTGTCTTCCGGGGTGAGAAAATCACACCAGACTGGGTATGCCTTCAACATCGAAGAACACGATGACGCGAATGTCGCTCATCATTTCATGTCAACATCTCGATGCTGATAATCACTCCAAGTGGGAAAGTGCACCTTGGTTAGAGCGGCAAGAATGCCGCAGAGTTCCCAGTCTGCCGAGGCAAAGCCATAAAAGTACCAAGCATACATCCTTTCAGGCGAGATTCGTAAACCCAAATACGATCGATCCATATTTCAACCAAGCTGTCAAATCGTACTTCTCAGAGATGATTTGAAACTTGCTTGCTGCAGCACAAACCAACGCGTCGTACCTATGCATGCCCGATATCTCCCCGAAAGCCGAGTCACACGCGGTGTGGGGGGAAGTGGATTCGACCGGATCCAACCCGAGTAGTGAGGATGTCTTGTTGGCACTTGGAGAGACTCAAAAGAGGATCAACATGCCTTGGCAGAACACGCAATGCTTTCTCTTCTCTTTTGTTCGAAGAGCACAAATCCGCCCTGGATATCCCGCGTCTGAGCGTGAGCGAGGTACGAGGCACAAGCAGGTGACTATCCAGCATGAACGGAAGGAAGGAATCCTACGCTAGAGTTACGTAGTCGGCGAACTCAGGGACACCCTTCAGTCAAGGCTGGCGGCCCGTTGTCTGGGCCCGCTGCCATGGGGAGGTGCGGAAGCTCAATTGGACGGGAAGGCTTTTCCTGTGACCTTTGCGCGCGCGCTTACAAAGCTCTCGTTCCAGTGATGTAGTTGGCGTTCAGTATTCCTGTACGGGTTGTACGGGCTTCATCCCGATCTAGTCCTGCTTCAGAAAGACAAAAAAAGGCCAAGAATTGCCTTGCCGCCAAGGGAACGATATCGCTATCTAGGAACATCTCGAGATCGTGGATAAGGGGTAACTGCCTATCCCGTTGAAGCTAGTAGATTCAGTTCATGGGAAAGTGTAAAAAGTACGCCACATGCCCTCTGAAATATGCATTCTTCATCCTTCGAGTCTTTGACTGAAACCTGATGTACGCTTTTGAGGGGTGTGTTGGGGGGGGGGGGGGTTGTATCGTGATCTGGCCTACCTCCCTTGGGCTTAGCAATATCGTGTCTCGCAGCCCTATAACTGGAGACCGAGACTAAGGTTGGTGATTTCTGCCTACGGATACGGACAGGCCTAGGCATGAGATGCGTCCGGCTTCTTCCACCTTCTGCCAAGACAGGATGGCGGCCGGGTTCTGGGCGGCTGGCGCCTGGAGTCTAAGGTAAGGTAGTATAGTATACGTACCAGTGGGAGTCCTGATCGCGGAGTACCTTACCTTAAGTCACGTACCTATCATAGACAGAGAGGTGGCCAAGGTACATTGCCCTGAGGGACTGAGGTTGTCAGCAATTACATTACCACTCTTTTTGGAGGGCAGCAAGAACAGTTAAGCTTCATTGGTCGTCGTCCGATGCTGGGCTGTCAAGATTGTGTTTGGCAGGGGACTGCCTGCCCTGCTTGCCCTGTGGGCTACCTTCCGTTGGTTAGCCCGTGGGGCGGTGTTCCGTTAGTCTGTGCTTTACGCAGTACCTAGTTACTTGGACTTCCACAAACCGCAGCAGCTTTCCCCACTGGACCTCACTTCATCATCTCGTCACTCAGTCAACACCACCTGCACCACAACCTACAGCCTACAGCCTGATCACCACCGTATGGCAAGGAGGTACGGCTCGCGACGTTCCTGTCCATCAGCGAACGGTTCATCGTATCGGATTTGATCGGTTCATGGTCAGGTCGTCTATTGGTGCCCTCTCATGATCAGGATCGATCATCGGAAGAAAAATGTGCGAAAAAGAAGCACGCAATTGCTGGCCATTTTCTACATCGAGCCCATGAAAGGAATACGTTGGCCTCAGCCACCAAACAATCATCAACAAGGTTACGAATGAGTCGCGTTCTGATGCGGGGTGACTCACGACGCGAGTTTCGACTTCTGCGTTCGAGTCCCTCCTCCCCCCATGACCTTCCCTCCGTCTGCGAGGTGGGGTGGGGTCTTTCGCGATGGCCTCACAGTAGCCTACATACGACGATCACTTTTCTCCCACGATCATGGCGAAGCTATTGGCCGCGAGGTTAGGAATGAAGACGAGATACGCACATCATTATCCTGGGGATCGGACGAGGGAGCAAAGAAACAGGTTCGGGGGCGCAGACATACATGGACGCAGAACGCAAACGCAGATGCAGACGCAGAAAGGGCCCGCAGGAAAGGACCGCACAGCGCCAAGAGGAAACCCATCGACCGTTGACCCGTTGACGTCCTTGTGTTTTGTCGTGCGCAACGGCGATGTTTTCTGGCGGCGGAGGGGCTCCGTCTGCGGCAGGCCCCTCACTTGAGGCCTCAGTCGTGAGGACTCTGGACTGCGTGCTGCGCGCTGCGAGCTGCGTCCTGACCTCACCTCACCTTACGGTGCTGCGACCGGATTCGACTAGCGACGCACGCAAACGAGAGCTTCGCCCTCTGCCCTTGTACCTACTGGACCCTGGTACTGCAAAAGCAAAGATGCGGGAGGCCAAACGCTGTATGGACAACGCAGCGGCAACGCAGCCTGCCTCGGGAAAGGGAGAGAGAGAGACTGAGTGAGACGTGGGTTCGGGCGAACCAGTCTCCCGGGTACGCAGGCGTGGCAGGCCGCATTTGCGAACCATTCCGGAGACACATTGGCACACACAAAAGCGACAGACACACGGGAAAATAAGGCGTCCCACAAGAAAATCCAGCAAAACGAGGCAACGGGGAAAAAGTGCATTTCTGCCTTGTTGGCTTGCTGGCCCTGCTGGCACCTGCACCGCCCATCTGCCAAAAGTACGCCAATGAGAGCAACGGCTGCCACCGAGAAATTTGGTCAATTGAACTCGAGCAATGCCCCCCCCCCCCCCTTTTTTTTTTTCTTCGGTCTGTCAGACTCTGTCTGGGCTGGGACTGAGGTGGCCTGTGGTTGGCTCAAGGGGACCATCTTGGGAACAGTCAGCAGAAATGGGAGTTGATTCCTGGTCAACCTCTTTTTCCACTTTGCTTTCTGGCTTCACCTAGGCTAGGTACCGGACGGACTCACTCACACCTCTCTCTGACTGTCACCACTGGATTGTCACTGTCACTGTCACCGTCGAGTCTCTTCCCGAGTCCCGCTCCCCTTTTTCTCCCGTCCCCGTTCCCATCCACACGCTCTTCTTGACCCTATACCCCTGTCAGTGTCCCCCCTTGTATCCCCTTGTACGGCACCACAGCCCAGTCCCAGTCCCTCCCGTCATGACATCCCTGCTCGAAGGGTGAACCCGCGATTCCGCCGTCCGTCCTGCCTAGCGAACTACTGCGGGTACGGAGTAGGAGAAGGATGGAAGGCTTGAAGTGTGCGAGTGAGCCTGTGAGGTGAGGGGATTTGGTGACCCGCGATGACTCTTCCTACTCACCTCACCTCACCTCGGACACACGCACTCACTCACACACTGCGCAATCGCAGCAGTCGCAAAAGTCTGCAGCCAAGAGGCAACCAAACTGGGCTAAGCAGCTCCAGCCCTACATGGCCACTACCGAAGGAATACTTTTGGAATGTTGCTAATCTCCTTGTGCCTCGGAGCGTCCAAGAGTTCCCTCCTCCGTACCCTACGCAGTACATGCCATGCCTACCCTACCTCACTACCAATGTACCCGTTCCCGTACCCTATGCCTATGGCATGGACATGTCAATGTACGGCATGTATTGAGTAGGTAAGGTAGGTATCTCAGTGTGGCTACGTACCCGGTTGCGGTTGCGGTTGTGGTTGTGGTTGCAGGGGTCAGGTATTCGTTCGTTCTCCCTTTGCATCGCAACTTTGCTGTCTGCCTCTCTTAGCTCCGGAGGCAGTAATGCAATCCACTGCCAGTCACCCACACCAAATCCCATCTGTCATTCTCCCTCCGCCTCCGGCTGCGACTTTTCCTCTCCGTCAAGGCTGCAATACCTGCTTTTGCAAATCTGGATAAATAAAATGTCAAAAGACGCCGCTTCTGCCTTTTTCTCCCCCCTCCCTATTCATCCCTCAGTTATTACCTGACCTGCTCATTTCAGGGTGCGGCTATTATTTTCTCTATCCCAGACCAAAATAACACCCGGTCCCATCTTGGGCAGCATTCAACCCCTTATATACCCGACTTGACTCATCTCGACAAGGCACACACATACGACAAGTATTAACCCGCGCCTACCACCACACCACCCACATCGAATTTCAAAAAATTTCAATTCTACTCTTTCCAAATACATACATCGCAATCGCATCGCTCACAACGAATATATCGCTCTCACTTTCGTCGCGCCTGTCTACGGCGAAAAGGCTCCTTGCCTTGGACATTGGTTCACACCGTCAACTCACAAACCCCACCGTTGATCGACAATCCCCCGGCCGCCCAGCGCCGCCCAATAACCACCAACCATGTCTACCGCCAACAAAAAAGAGGCTCGCGTCACCTTTCAGACCACAAAGGGCCACCGTCACCAATCGAGCGACTCTAGCATCTCCGTGATCAGCTCAAGCCCTTCCGCCCAGGACTACTTCGACCTTGAACTGAAGTACAATCAGCTGCTGGACGATATGAACCGGCTCAAGAGCGAAACTAAAGCTCGCTACGCTGCCCTGGAGAACAACATTGAGGTTCTCAAGATCGACAAGAAAGCCTGGGAGCGCGAAAAGGAAAACTTGCGCACCGAAAACCAGGTCCTACGGGAGGATCTCCGCAAGGCACAACGCCACAGCC